GGGTCTGTCTGCTTGTGATACTGAAGTAAACCCATAGGGGGTGGCATGTGTTCTGCTTGCAGAGGTGTGCCAAGTGTTTAGAACACTGCCTGAAACACAGTAGGTACCAAATAAATGTTCATTAAACAGTATTCCACACGACTGGGTAAAAGACTGGTCCAACAGGACCAGACAACCATAAGATAGGTACGGTTTTACAGCTGTGGGTTCTGCACAGCATCACAAGAGCAGGTGTATATAAAATCACAACTAAGTACTCTCTCACACTCAAGCCAGTACCACAACCCTCACTGAGCTAAGGGGAGACAGTGTTTTCTGTGAAACTTCTGCAGCAGAGGCTTAGGAGAAGCAGGTCTGGAGTCTGAGCTGAGAACTCAAATGCTCTGAAACATCCTAAATCCCTAACTGGAAAGGGAAGAAAACTCCTTTCAGAAGTGGCCTATCAGGTACGCTGACAGGACATTATTTTGGGCATATTACTGAATCCACCATGGAACTGAGGTTAAGAGCTTTATTTGGAGATGCCAAATAGAACATTGAATGTTTTTCATAAAGTGAAAGGGAGTATCCCTACCAAAACACATTTAGCATATATAACTTTCAGCATCTTTAAAAAAATCACATATAATAGTCTGCAATACCCAACATTTATTTGCCCCCCAAAATAGTACCAAGAAGTGGCAAAAATGGAGAAGTGTTCCTAAAGAGCGAGATGAAAGAAAACATGTTCTGTTCCAGATGGGATGGCATTTTCCTTTAAAAAAAATACCGATAACATAGTGCAAAGAACATTACTTTCATTAGCAATGGTAAGTTCTGAACGCTTCTGCTTTGTCATTAAGAAGAAAATGTTCCAGAATCGACTACAGCATCTAGCCTGCCTTGAAACACATGCCTTCTACATGAAACAGAACCGCTGTGCGGTGCTGCTGAGAATGCAGGTAAAACATCTTCTGAGCACTTTCTTCCATTGCTCATACTTCTGGGGACATCTGACCTTGAACAGAGAGTCTTTGCTGAAAACATCGTCCACGTGTCGAAAGCTCTCCCCCCCCACACACATGCACTCTGCCATCCACCCTCAACCGAACTGGCTAAATTACATTCAGATTTTTGTGGTATCATAATAACTTCAGTATGGGATATATTTTCAACATTCTGGTCAGAGACTCCTTTATTCCCCGCCTCACCCTCCTTCCAAGTTATTTCAGGCTTGCATATTTCATTTTCACATCTCAGTGGGACACCCATCACATAACATTTATTTGTGAGGTCTGGAGGCATAATACGGGGGATTGTGAACTGCCATGTCAAAACCACACATTGCATGCGTACGTCTTCAAGAATGAAAAAGGATTCCTTTTTTCTCAAGATACATAAGCTGTCTCAGTAGTATAAGTCCAACATGAATGCCACAGCCTAATCAAAGATGAAGGGCAGAACAAGCAATATTAAAATGTCTTTATGGATTCATTCCTCTCCAAGTTATGTTTTTATCCAATGTCCTGTCTCATTAATGACTTCAATAGACATAATGAGTATACACACCTTCTAATCCCACCAAATTCAGAAGAGAGTTGAACGAGTTTCCCCTGCATGTTCTGGGAGGGTTGACAGCACAGAATATGGATGCGGGGTGGAAAGGGGCTTTGAGAAGATGCCAAGTCCATCCACCTGCCTACAGGGATGAATACACTCATACTTCTAGTAAAATGGGGCTGCTTTGAAAGATCTCGAGAGTCAGAAATCCCACAATCTCTCTTGGGATGCAATTCCTACATTTGAGAATGCTTATTTCTAGGAAATTCTTCCTTTGGATCTAACTGTTGCGGGAGCAAGTGCACAGCGTAGCCACAGAGAGGCCCCTGTGTGCCAGGGACCCGAACTTGCTTTCATGCTTGCTGTCGCCATCTTGAAATTCTCAATGATTTTTATCTCTGAACTTGTAAGTGAAGTCTGATGAGACAATGAAGCGAGTGTGAGAAGGGAAGACATGCAAACACGTGCCCACCCTCGTCCTCTCTGCCCTATTTATACACAGGCCCCTAAGCTCTGAATTCCTGTGGTCCTGGGATGAATGGGAGGATCAGAGCAAGTTCAAGGAAGGCAGGTTACACCTGAACAGATAAAGCAGGGGCAAGGACAGCCCTAAAAGGTTTTTCATTTGAACTAGAACTTGTTTTTGAATGAGGAAAGAAGGCAACAGATTCAAAGAAACAGGAGTGACTAAGGAAGTCCATTTTACTACTGCTACTTCCCTACGCTGTCCCACCACTACGCTGCAGGGACGGCAGTGACAGAGAGCCCCGGGGCTCTTGGTACTTCCTTGCTCATCAGGAAGCAGAAGGTAGAAAGTGTGGGTAGATGTGTGCGTTGCAAGAAGTGAAATGCAGACAGGCTTTGTGCAGACTCCACAGTTCTGTAAGAACAAATCAGATACGCATGCATCGGCTGCCAAATACAAATGGTGTTATTATGATGAGTCCGGAATTGAGTCTAATGCTGTTCTATCTGTATTAAAACTGGCATTGCCCATTACAAAGATTAATGGTAACACTCATGCTAACGATGTAAATTCTTAATTTTTCTATATTCAGTACATAAAATAGCAAATAAAAACACCGTGATGAGAGAGAGAGGCTGCGCAAAGTAAAAGCTTTGTTCGTAGTGCCTGTTGTAACAGCACTTGAGCCCTTTCCCTGCTTTTTTGGAACAAGGGATCCGCGTTTCCATTTTGCACTAGAGCCTGTAAATCACACAGCGGGTCCGCACCCCCTCCCCATGCTCCCAGGCACATGCACTGTGTCCGTCCTGCCAATTACCTCTTGTCACTCACCCAACGAACACGGACTGCACTATGTGAGGTGTGGTGCCAGGCTCTGAAAATATTAAAATGAGTCAGATACCATTCCCACCTTGCAGTGCAGTTGTGCAGACAAATAACCGTGGAAAGGTAATAATAGCTACCTTGCATGACTTCAGTGCAAAATGTAAGTAATGTACATAAACTGTACAAACCACTTGTGATCGTGATGCGCACTCTGTTCAGTTATCTCAATACAATCTAATGGGGCGGGTCCTAGTCCTGTGTCCATCCTATGGCTACGGAAGCAGGGGTTTAGATCGGTTAGAAACCTGCCCACAGGACTTGGTCACTGAGTGGTGGGACCAGGACCTGAGGCCACCCCAGTCTTTTCGATGACTAAATCTGAGCTCATAAGTGATAGTTTTTAATAGTGTAACTCTAACTACTGTACTCTTTATTTTCTACTACAGTCACACCTTGGTACTCATTGGCTTTAGAACTCGTCACACCCTGGACTCAGTCGCATTTTGACAAGAAAAAAGCACCTCAGCAGTCAGTGCTTGCTCGGGACTTGTCACACTTGCTAGAGCTTGTATGAGTCACCGTCGCCGTCCCACAAGATAAAATGCTTCATCGTTCAGGACTCGCTGGTTTTGACAATCATTATGAGTTCCAGAACGAATTAACAATGAATGCCAAGGTAAAACTGTATTATAATGTCAACATTTCCACTTTCTCACAAGTCATTTTTAGCTATAATTTTATCTATCTAAAAAAAGTATACTCTTAATTTTTTCTAAATGATTAGTATTTGATTTAGGATATAAAATAATGGTGGATTTTTTGAATCGGACAATATTTTGACCCTACTATAGAAAACTGGATTCAACTGACAAAGTTCGTTATTTTCAAATTCATGTTCATGACTTTGCTTGCTAAAATACAGTGTACTGGTCAAAAACATGTACTTCAGAAGTGGAAGGACCTGGCTCCAAACCCGGGCTCCACCCCACTGGTCTCGGAAAGGAACTTAAATCTCAAAGCATAAATTTTCCGCTATGTAAAATGGGGATGAAAATAGTACCTTTACTACCTTACATGGACGTGTGTAAATTTAAACAAGGTAATTCTGCTACAACATTTAAAGTGATACCTGGTACCTAGTAAGCACTCAAAATGGTGTTTTTAGTACAGTTATTTTTAGTACCATGTTCTCATACCTGTGCTGAAAAAAAGATTGGAAATGACTTTTTTCTTGAAATGGTTTCTAGCAATAACTAAGTACAAGGGTCTCTAATTTCCAAAAAGTCTATTATTTCTTTGTAATAAAAGCAACTGGTGATCACAGATACCTCTACAAAGCAATGGATCTGCAATATTTTTATTTAAGTAATCCTTTACCCAAAACTCCAAATACAAAACCCTCATTTTCCCCTTTCATTTAAATTGCCTATTCAAAGGATCAAGGGTACACAGGAGTTTATGAACTGTATATAAAGAAGGATATAAACGTAATGGAATATTCCTGTCATAAACCACAGCTACCTTGATTGTCTCTTACCCTTGAAGCAACACTTACATTTGAGAACACTGAGCACAGTAAAATGGCTGACTGTTCGCTCTGGCAGAAAAGAGAAGAATGAACCGACCCGAAGGTGTGCCGCCGGCACCCGGGCACTCAGAAGACTGTTTCCCTGGCTTCTCAGGGGTCAAAGAGCACATATAATAACAGACTGGGTACCACCTAAACATGGACCACATGCCTATTTTTTAAATGGCTCTAGAAAAAAGAAGGCTTTTATTTGACATTTTTATAATAATTGAAAAAAAAGCAGGATTTGTGTTAAAAAAATTTAAAAACCCAAGCCATTATATGGTATCTTAAAAAACATGATAGCCATGTGGCCTGGCCAGGAGACTCGGTTGGTTGGAGCATCGTTCTGTGCACCAAAAACCTGCAGGCTTGATCGCCGGTCAGGGCACACACTTAGGTTGAGGGTTCAGTCCCTGGTCAGGGTGTGTACAGGAGGCAACTGACCGATATTTCTCTCTCTCTCAACCTCTCTCTTTCTCTCTCTCTCACATGCAAAACAAATCAACAAGCAAAGCCATGACAGCCATGTGATATCTTCCTAAAAGCACACTCTTCTTCCAGAAACAGTGGCCATCCCTGCTGCAGATTGTGGGTCCTTACCAACTCCTGAGTGTCCTGCTGCAGCGGCAGAAACGCAGCCTCCAGAATCGCCACCTGGTCCGCACTGAGCTTCTGCCATAGTCCGATCAGCAGGATCATCAGATGGGTGGCACTCTTCAGCCTGGTGAGAGACTGGAACAGGCTGTCTTGGTTTTCCTCGATCGCGTCTGCTAGAGCGATTATCTGCAGAAATCACCAACTTCGGTTAGGCGCAATTTCACAGTTCATGGGCCCTCCGCAAATTACAGTTGGCTCACTCCTGTTTTTCTTTCAAACAGCTTGATGAGCTTTGTCTCCCAAAACACAAGCTATACTGAGTAATAAAAGAGTTATCATTCATCTGTTCACTTCCTTTTGTGAAAAATATGCCCAAAGTAATTCCAAATCCATATGGCCGGGAGATAAAAAATATCCATGAAATCAGCTTAATGGGGACATTGTTCAATGTTACTTCACCGCAGTGACCTTCTACAATATATGATAATATAAGTAACATCTAATACAGTTAGAATAGCCTTTAACAACAGCTGCAGAGATGGGTTAACTTTAAAAATTCTTAACAAAATAACTGCATTTGCCTCATAATTTAAAATCATAAGTCCATTAAAACCCTTTTCAGAAAATAACTATCTCCCTCTGATTATTATTCTTTATCCATGTAACAGTTGGAATATCAATATGTCCTTATTTTATCTAAAAGGTAGATAATGTTCAAGCACTCAGCCAGTTGAGTAATGTGTCATTTTTTAAATACAAATGTCAGACACCAGCCCACAGGGATCTGAAAGAAAAAAAAATGTTTAAGGTGTGTTAGCTTTACAATGCCAAATCGACTTGGGATAAAATTGGCAGGGAGGAATAGAACTGCATGTTTTTTTAACCCTCCTGAGTAATCCTGTGGAAAAGAGAACTAAAGCACCAATTGGACGGGACATCCAAAACTCCCCATTGGTGTTTTATTTTACTTTAGTGTCTTGGTGAATTTTGTGCTCATTAAAAGTAATGAACTGACTGGCCCAAGGGCTCAAAACGTCTGACAGCCCCCAAAATGAGAACGGCGAGAGCCAGAGCAACGAGAGCTCCTTCCTGCAGGCCCACCAGCTTGAGTGAGTAGAGTTCAGGTGAGTAGGGAACGTCTAGTGCAGATGGTCCATTCAGTGCTATTTCATGGGCTGCTGACGCTGGCCCAAAGAGCTTGCAAAAACACCATCATTCAAACAAGCAGACTCTACAGATTCTCCCCAATTCCTCCTCCCAAATTCCACAGGTGGAGTGGCACTGCAGGGGGACGGTCATCAGAATGCCCAGGAGACACCGGAACAGAGATGTAGATGAGAGAAAGACAAAGTGAGCAGACTGGGATTCTCTGCCGTATGGTTCAGGGCTTGCAGGAGTTATGAAAGGCAGTAAGTTCACATTCAGCCCTCCAGGGAGCCCTGGGTGTTTGGACCAAGGTCAGCAGCACAATCAAGTACATTGTTTACTGTGTGCCTAGTGCTGGGCTACTTTCCATTGTACTCAAAGATGTGCCTGACATCCTACAGCCCAGGAGGATCTTATAATTTTGGGGATAGAAAACATACATACACAACCAATTAGTGGAAAGAAACATTACTGTAATAATTCCCTAATTATGCAGAACAAAAAGTGTGAAAGAAGTTACCAAAGGGACAAATTATTATGGGCCAGAGTTAATATCCCCAGGGCCTTTTTTAATCCAGTGAGGCTTGGAACTCATCCCTTGTCCATTACTTCCAGCAGTCCCCTCGAAGAGACAGAAAGAGGCCACTTTCCTTAAACCAAAACACCTGGAATCATCTGTGCCCTCCCCCCCCCACCAAAGTCCCCACAATTACAGCTGACTCCTGTTAAAGTCTAAATTTATATATTTTTCCCTTCCTGGGAACATTACCAATTAAGACTCATTGCAGGGGTCATGGTATTATAGCATAGATGCTTATTGTCAATAAGCCCAGATCATACAAAGACAAGGTCATGTATACCTCCTGAGTGCCAGGTATGTGCAAAAAATGTGCAGGAGGCACTATTAGGAATTCAATGGAGACAGACATCTCCACCTTCAAAGAGTTTATAATGGAGAAAGGAAAACAGGTCAAGGCAAATGTTGAGCATGCAGGGAAGGCCCCATAGACTGTAAAGAAGAATGCCACTGACATCAGGGTTATGGATAAGAATAACCCGTCCAGTGAATTGGGCATTGACTGCAAGCCAAGCATTCTGCTCTATGCATTCACCCATCACACCTCCAATGTGACTTAGTTGGCATGATCTCCACTTTGCACATGATGCCCCTGAGGCTTAGCCCATGTAAGGAATGTGCCAGTACTGCACACAGGGCATGCAAATAGTGCCCTTGCTTAGAAGGGCTCAATGCCTGGTTTAGTGCCCTGCTGTCCTGAAATTCTTAAGCAATTTCATTTTCGAAGTTGTGCTTTGTCAGTGAAGTCAGTGGGATAATGGAGCATGCACAGGAGCAGAGGAGACGTGCTCACTAGCTGCTAGTTACATGCTCTTACATTTGCACTTACAACTGACATTGCATATCATAAAGATGAATGGCCGAATTCATACCAACAATTTAGAATTTTAACTTTCCCTTACTTGGAATGACATGAGCTAGAAAATATTAGATACCATCAGCAGGTGTGAGAGGGAGACCACTGCGGAAAGGGAAACACTTTCTACTTTAGTGGCTGTTCGAATAGTACTTTCTTCCTGCCTATGAACAAGGGCCTGCCTTTTCATTTTGCACTGCGAACAGCAAATTCAGTAGCTGGCTTGACCATCACCTAGTAAACATTCAGATGTCAGAGTCTCTCACTCCCGAGCCTGCAGGAGCCCTGAAGTCCCTCAAAGGTGTAGAGAAGGGCCCAGTTACGATCAAATGGGCAGGGTCTTTGACAGGAAAGGTGGAGGAAGAAGCAGCCAGTTCCAACTGGCTCAGGAGGGAGTACCCATTGTTCAAGTTTTGGAAATTTGGTGAGCCAGCTGTTAAACACGGCCACTATAAAAAAAATGAAATTATATAAATTAAAATTTAAATACATTAAAGCAAAGGTAATACATACTCAAAATTACTTCCTAATTACTTGACTCTTATCTAGGCCCTCGAGGTTATTTACACCTATTATCCCCCACAGGTTGGAAACAGAAATGGCTACTGTCTATTTTTTCCCAAGTCTACGTTCTATGGCCTCCTGGGGGTCCCTTGAAATTGGCCATGGTGGAAGTATTTGCCACACAGAGGTGAACAAATGCCCCAAAGTCAGCCTTCTCCCCCAGGAGCTGGCTAACTACTCATTAGCATGTCACTTAGAAGAGGTACCTGGAATTTGTCCTCAAGAATAGGTACTAGATGTGGGGGCTTTAAAAGTGAAGGCAATGCCCTGGCCAAGTGGCTCAGGTGGTTGAAGCATCGTCCTGTGCACCAAATGGTTGCTGGTTCAATCCCCGGTCAAGGCACATACCTAGGTTGTAGGTTCAATCCCCAGTCGGCTGTGTATGGGATGTAACTGATGGATGTTTCTCTCTGACATTGCTGTTTCTCTCTCTCTCTCTCTCTCTCTCTCTCAAATCAATAAACATATCCTTAGGTGAGAATTTTTTTTTAAAAAGTGAACTTGACCAACTGCATTGAAGCAGAAAAATGAGGCTGCTTGTTTGGAGAAGAACAAATATTCCAGTCGGGGAACAGCATTTGATAAGCCAGAAGAAGACTATGTGAGCAACTGCTGTCAAAGAACCACAATGTCAAGATGAAGAACATGCACTCAACGCTGTCGGCACTGGGGAGCCGTGGAGGACTAGGAGTGTGGGCTTCGCCGGATGGAGGGGACTCTCTAAGCCACATCGGAGCACAGTGAACATTCAGGGCATTTGCTGGGACTTAGGAGAGGCATTTATGCATGTTCCTCACTACCAAGGGAAAATTCTTACTAAGTGTAACAACATGTCAGTTCGTGGACCCACCCAACTTGCTAAGTACAGCTGTGGCGGAGGAGAGACTTCCCAGTGAGACAGTGGAGCAGGCCACAGGCTCTTTCCTGAGTGGGGCCCACAGCACCTCAGTCCAGGAGATGCGCCATTTCTCCAGGTCCCAGTCTCTGCCTGGACAAGTGTCTATGCCATTGTGGACAGAGCCTGCTAACCCCCAGTGGTCACAGGAACTGGGAAGAAAAGGAATAAACAATTCCTTATGTAAATTACCCCCAAGGAAAACCTCCCTGACCCACTGGCCAGCACAAAATACTAAACAGATCTCCGTGTTCTCCATCTGGTTATACACGTAACAGCCAAGTTTACTTAGTCCTCCATGAGAGCCAAATGAATGTTGCAGAATTAACACAATAAAATAGGGCCTGGAAAAACTGGATCCATCAGGAGTCAGATCTGACCAAGGCCTAGAAGATTTCGCCGCTCACCTGGAACTGAGAAAACGAGGCTGACCAGCTGTAGGACTGCAACGTGAGGGGGAGGGATCTTTCCCAGCTCATCACGGGCTGTGCAAGATGTGTGTTCCCTGGTGTTCAATGGAATACAGCAAGGGAAGGGCTTAGGAAACAATAAATACTAACGATTTCAAGCGCAATGTGTTGATGGCCTTTGTTTTGCTTTTTTCAAATTGAACATTTCCAAATAAAATGGAGACCCCAAAGGACATCCCTGTCCCACTGCCATATCAGTTGATGCCAAAGTAATGAGGCAGAGGCCCAGGGAGCTGCTTGCAGGAAAACGCTCAGCTCGTAAAGTGAGTGTGAAATTAATCCCAAACACTTCCAGCTGCCAAGATAGGCTCTGAAATGGGTTACAGGAAAGCAGCAGCCGCAACAGCCGAGTAGACATGAATCATGCAATGTGAACACGGACATGTCCAATTTCTTCACCTAAACTCGCCATCAAATCTGTCTCCAGATCTCAGGTGTGGCACACAGAACCCCAACCGCATTGCTATTTGACTGTCATTTACGGATCCCCAGCCACGGGCCAGGCCCTGCGCTGGGGCTGCTGGACTCAGGTTACCCTCAGGACTACCCTCTGGGAGAGGAACTATGGGTCCCCTGGGCCCCAATGCTGTGATGAGGAGACAAAGGCTCACAGCTCCGATAAGCTTACAGCTCAGGTGAACACACGGCCCATGGTTGTGAACTAGGAAGAAGAGCAGG